TATGAAACAATTAGTGATCGGTCTTCTAAGATTCATAGGGATATAATAAGATAAATTTTTTAATTATTAAATTATTATTCTTTTATGACGAATATTTTGTTTGATAATAATGAAGAAAATATAAATCTTGTGAAAGTAATCGATATAATTATTGCTGATTGCATTACCTTTAATTGCGTATAATAATAGAAATAATATAAAATTATTACGAATATGAGGTTTTCGCATTACATATTATATTTTAACAATAATATATAATTTAATAAGAAAAGTAAATATTTCAAACGAGTTATAATGTTTTCTTGTAATTCAAGAGATAATTTTCAAATGGAAAGAGAAGTTAGTTCAGTATACAGTTTACACATATTCAAGGAAAGACGAAGTTATCATAAGTTAAGTTCAGTCTTCTTAGAAAGTGATATTACTGTTGATGATTAAAACAAACTGAGTTCTCTTTATAAATACATTAGTCTTTCCTTGCATTAAATTTGAAATAATAATATATACTTATATATACACACACACACACACACACACACACACACACACATATATATACATATATATATATATATATAATATATATATGTGTGTGTGTGTGTGTGTGTGTGTGTGTGTGTGTGTGTTTACTAATATCTATTAAAAATTGAAATATTAACGGTTTATTAAGCATATGAAGTTTACATTCATTATAAAAAGAATAAAATTAATATTAGTAATATTATTTTTTTACGTATGCGCACGTGCATATGTGTATTGCATTTCATACTCTATAATATATAATCGAATTACATATTGCAGTATTGGATAAATATTATTATCAGAAGTAAATATGAAATTTAATTGAATTAAATTAATATGAAAACTTCACTTACGTCATAAAATTCATTATTGGTTTTAAAAAATTTTAATTTTCTAAAAATATAGTTGTATACTAAAAATTCGAAGGTTAGTAATTTACAATTTATAACATCTTTTTATTTGAAAACAATGTCGGACAAAAAATACCTGTTTCTATGTTAATAATACAAGCTTTGCGGTATATCACACAAGGCTATACAATATAATACGCTATAAAAATATGATGAATTTGCAAAATGAATGTAAATGGCCTGAAGAATATAAAGTAAGTGCGAGTGATAGTATAAATGACCACAGCTGTCGCTATCAGATCGAAGACTGTCAAGCATAAAGATTTGAAAAACTAGACGTTGTCCTTATAAGGGCTTTCCTTAAGCATAGCAAGTCTTGCATACATCCTGATGCGTCACCATCCGCGCAAGACCCTCGTAAAATTATACAGGCCAGGGGCTCGATGGGTAGGGGATGATCCTCCCAGTTCTCGACGATATGCGACGATCTCTTATTTTGTCAAGGGCCAAGAGGGCGAGGGAAATCTTCTTTTTTTTCAACCGATCGCACGTGCGCCCACAAGATTTAAAAGTGCGAATAATATTTTTCAGACAAGTGTGAAAAATGAATAGAAGGCTTGTGGATGTTAAGCAGCCATGTGTGTAAAAATGGCCTACGTCACTACATTTTGATGGAATGTCTTGAATAAATGAGGATAAGAAGGTTGTGTTATGCTGTGATAAGAATGCTTGCGAAAATGTTCCGGAAGTCGGTACCTGTCAACACTGGTTTTACTATTAAAAAATATTTTATTTTAACTCGGATAATTTGAACGCCCTTTTTTAAATTTTATTGTCGTCCTGTCGCCATAAACCACGAAAGTAGTATTTCTCATGTAATTAAAGTCATCTTTTATTCTAAACAAAATTAATACTGTCTATAGTTTTGTTTTAGACAATTTTTCAATTATGCACCTACTAAATTTACAAATTATTTTCACTTAATTTTTTTATTAATAACATGACTAAAAAGTACAATATTTTATAATATACCAGTAAATTATAAGTAAAAAACTTGTGTAATTGTTTCTTCGTCAGACATCTGTAGGGCAAACTATTTTCTTGGCTGAAAATGATACTTCTATTTGAAAACTCATATTTTAAAATCTCAACACTTCCTCTGCAATTTTCAGGGTTAAATTTATTAATATAATTATGTAATCGTAATTTATATATTGCTAACTGTTATCTACGTTTTTATTTACGATTTCGATGATTAAACAGTTTCGCCGACTCAAAAATTATTCTCACTCTGTAAGGGAGTAAAGAATGAGATGGCGTTAGGTACTACTAACAAGCGTCGAAAATACCTCAAAAATAAAATCTGGAAGTGCATTCAAGATGAAAGAAGCGTAAAAGAGAGATAACCTTATAAAAAAAGTTAGTAAACGTATATGTATCACTGACTCGATGCCTTTGACGTTGTATGAACAAAAAGTTCCATTACACAAAGTAAAGATAAAAGGAGTATGTTTTATCTGATGTTTGTTGGTATGTTTTCTGTGTGGCTTAGAAGAATGGAGGAATGATTGTCGTATAAAGATTTTCAAAATTTACACAAAACAATATCGTACCGTTACAGCAATTTTCCTTCGTATGCTTCAAATTCAGCTTTTTTATCATAAAAAGACTGGATTCATTACTCAAAAAACCACTTTGCATTATACAACTTTTTCGAAAAAGTCATAATTGTCTCAAATTTCTATGTAAAAATAAATATAATATACTCGTTACTTTGAATCGTCAAAATTCATTTTTCCAATTTTTTTATCGTAATTGGTAACATTTATAGCTACAGAATATTACTTTCATATATTTCATTACTATAAATGCAAGAAAATTATATTTTCAATTGGATTATTATTTTCTCTTTAATATAATTAAACACATTTTTTTTATAATATTCCTTATAATTGAATAAGAAATAAATTTAAATTAATAATAATGAAATGTAAACAATTTTTATTGCTATTAAGTAATGTATAAATCACATTTTATAATGAAAAATTATTGTATTTATAGTTCTTTACGACTTTCAAGTCTTAAAAGTCTATTTATTCTGCTACATTCACTTTATATAAGATTATAATTTAATGTTTACCAAAAGCTCTACAGGATATCTTAAATATCTTGAATGTTTATTAAAAAAAATTATTTTGTGAATGCTCTTAAACATAAGAAATTATAATATTGTATAATTTCATTACATATAATTATGTAAAACATTAAATAGTATTTGAATGAATATTTGTTTTTGTAATGTTTCCCCTTACTATTTGGAATGGACATATATATATATAGCCGTATTTGAAATTTGAAATTTCATTTACGAATATGTAGTACAAGGTTTTTGATTAAAAAATTTGTATTATTTTGAAACATGTAATTTCATTAAAATTCATATATTTTTTAAAGTAATAAATAAAAATATATATTAATCCAAATGTATTTTGCAAAGTATAGAATCGCGTGACATGGAAAAAGTTTATTTTTATATAAAATAGCATAATCAAATTTTTAAACCTTCAATAGCAAGGTTTTGATAATCTTCCAATAGGGATAATTATTGACTTAACTATGATCATATAAATAAACTAGGAAAAAAATTGCAATGATGTAATAAATTTTCCTAAATCTTTGCAATGTTCATTTATGCAGTAGAATAATATAAATAGTTCATTAATAATAAGTATAAAATAATGCATTGTTTTTACTATTTGAATTTCTAAAGGCAATTTTTCTTCTTCATTAAGATCTGGTTGAGAAAGAAATTTTAATATCTGTGGCCTTATTATCATCATTCACACTCCAATGCTTATAAAAGCGAACGAAGCAATGTAAATTGTCGAAGAATAAATCCAAACGAATTTTGTACACTTCTCTTTCAGAACTTTATCGAAGCAAAATACTCCCTTGCCGAAAATCATAAATCTCATAAACCGAATGAAGTAAGTGAGCACATCCGCGTTGAGCGAGTTGAGCCGAAATTGCGGAGTCACGCGTGCGAGGAACTTGAAGAAGGGAAAGCCAAACTATTACTCACAGTGCAAAGAGTCTCCTAACCGAGACTTAAAGTTGTTGCTTCCTGTCCTCATACTTCGCGAGAGCCTAAATCAACCAGTTTCCCCGTTTTTGGCGCTTGCAGAATTACCGTCGCATTTCGCTTATCGCAGAAATTCTAACGCAATCAGGTATTTGGTAAGTAGCTTGTGAATCGTGTAGTCGCTGGAAAATCGCGACGATCGGGGATTAGGATCTTTTGAGCTTTAGAATGCCGTAGATTTGAATGTCGGAAGGACCTTTAAATGAGAAAGCCGTTGGATTCTTTCTCCGTCAAATACATCTGTTCTTCATTTTTATTTTTATGCATGATTTTGAAGCGACACCTTTGTCTACGATGCCAAATTATTTTTACCATTAAAAATTTCTACAAATTGTATACATATTTTATGATTACTTTAGAATCAAATTCCAAGCAAAACACGTTTGATAAATTTACTCTGATGATATTATAACTCTACTAAACTAAGCTTACAATTGTTACTATTTATTTAGAGTCTCTAATATTATTTTGATATATTAACTTTCTTAATGTAAAGTATTCCAGACAATAAATAATAATTTGAAACTAAATCTTATAAGTTCTTTAATATAATTTATCGTTGCTTTAAATTGAAATAATTATAATACAATGAATTTTCACCTTTCGACAGTGTATAAATCTACATAATAATATTTCTATTTTTCAAAAAATAATGTTTAAATACTTTTTAAAGTAATTTAATTAAATTAATGCGATGAAATTCGATAGAGTTAACTTAGCTTTGCTTTTAAAGGCCAATATTGTTAAGCTATTTACATACTTAATAAATGTTAAGTAATTCACTAAATACCGATAAACTGTAAATTAAATTTGCATAAAAATTTTAATATTTTATGAAACACAATTAGCTCAGTTATATGTAGTATAACAATAGTGGTTAATATTTTTCGCTTTAGTAGTACTACTTAAATAATAATCGAGTAAATAATTTATACAGATTTTAGCATTTATAGGCTTTGAATAAATTAACGTAAAAATGTATTTACCGATATTTTATATCCGAGCATCATTTCCAAGTTGAGAAGTACCTGAAAAAAATAAGAAAACTTTTTAGATATTCTACAGATATTTAAATACTATTAGGAATAAAAATAATATTAAAAGTTCCGTAAAAAGGTATGTTTTTTTTTTTTTAATCTATATGTCATAATCATATTATTTGTAAATTTTTGAAAATTTCAGAGAAATTACTTTATTTTAAAATATTTACTATTACTAAGATGAAGTAATTATAATTTTAATCGAATACTAAGTAAGGTTCATGTATCGCTGAATTTGCAATTTCTATTCTTGATAATAAAATTCAAATAAATTATAACTACAAAATGTTTTAATTTTAATTATTTATCATATTATACATAACTGTTACATACATACAATTATTTACTACAACAAATAGAGCATTTTCATTATAGATTCGTAAATATGTAATAAAATATATTGGACGGACTTCTAACTCAGTTTCATTTTTTAATATAAATATTATATGTAATGGAAAATGCAAGAAAATTGCATTCACTATGGTATCAAATCAATGATTGATCCGGTATGTTACATAAACATTAAGGAAATGAAGAAGCAAAACGTGAAATGTTCAGGTGCAAAAAATTGAAATCTGAAGAAATAGTAAAAAAATCGGCAGATAATGTGCGAAGAAGAAATATATGAAAATGATAAATAAAAAAAAAACAGAAAATTTGATAAATGATCGATTAGAAAATGATAGAGGTACGTAGACATGATGCTTAGAAGACAATAAATTCATTTAAATGAAAAAACTTCGAAAAATTAAATTGAAAAAAATTGTGGTTTTTCCAGTTCATTTTTTTAATAAATTTTTTTTTTTATGTAAAGTAATTATATAAACATTTAAATGGAATTAAATTTAGTTAAGATTATTTAAATAAAATACGTGTCTTTTTTCTAATGAATATTATTAATTAAATGTAGATCTTGATATAAAGAAATAGTATAGCTGTTACGATCCACTGAAATAACGAAGAGTTTATAATAATTATAATTACTAATATTCTTATAAGTATTTTCATTCATGAAATTTACATTTGATTGTACGATTACACAGTCATCTCATTCATCCTATGAAATACTAATAATAATATAATGCCATTCCGAACTTATAATTTTATCTTTTATTATAATTCGGATAATCACAAAGTTTTTAAATAATTATATTTCATTCATTTAAAGTACAGTAAATCCTAGCTAATAGTAAACTGTATAATAAATTGAAATATAATTCTTTCAAAATGATATATTCTCAAAGTAAATGATTTCAATTCAAGACAAGTGATATATATATATATATATATATATATTATAAACATAGTGTTATATATAAACACAATATATGATAAAAATATTGTCACTAAAAATTACTTCTAGTCATAGAGAGAAATTAGAAGTTATTTAATTGCATAAAAACTCAATTTGCATTAAACTATAATTATTATCGAATACTGTAATTCAATGCTTCAATTTCTTTGGCTTCATTATTTTTTATTTTTATACGATAGAATTAGGTGATACGGGGAGAGCGGCATGAATTTTCCTTCCCCGAAAGCAATCGACAAAGAATTTAAGATTGTGAGTTAGTTTCGAATGCTGATATCGCGTTGGCCTTTACACAAGTGAAAATGATCATTCCACTCGAATGATGAAATTTTTATAGGAAATAGAGAAGGAACAAAAGGCGAGTAATCAGAGAAAGAGCAAACGACTTTCTCTCGTTTACCCATCCAACATCAAAGCAATGGAACCAAACAATTGATTCGACGACACAAAAACTCCTGCTTGCTTCCACCGCAGAAATAAAAAGCCAGAAATATTACCATCGTACGGGCGTCCAAACCCTCGTAGAATCCAAGCTAGCAGCGCAGCTTCCCTCCCCCCTCCGCCACCACCAATTAAATTGTAACGCGTCCGCACTTTGCAGCGACGCCCCATTAGGCGAGCAATCAGCAACGCGATATCGCGAAATTTCACCTTCGACCTTTTCAGCGCGCGAAATGCCCACCTCCCTGAACCTTGCCGTAATTGCTCTGTACCAGGGCGCAGTCCATTCGATTAATCCGTAGAGGGTCGCTGCCTGGAGGCTCTTGTTATTGCTTTTGTGTTGGCTCCTTGTTGGTGCGCGGGATCGCGCCTCGATGAAGTCGTTGATCCTTGAGCATCGCCTCGACGTAACTGGCTTCGTTGCACCATAGACGTCGGTTCTTAGTTTTTCTTTTTGTTTAACGTTTTTTACTTACTTTCTTCTGTCGAACCCGGTTTTTCTTTTTAGGGGAGCATTGGGATTCATTTTTAACTTTGTCGAAACGTAGCTAAGGAAGTGCTACAGCCTTATCGATGGTAGCGAGAAAAATTCGTATTTTCCTCACTTTAGGATTGCTTTGTGCTAGTGATAAGTATAAAGACTCGTGCTATATTAATCTGGCGTAATTCAAATTAAGAAAAATATTTTAAATATATATATATACATACATAGAGAGAGAGAGAGAGAGAGAGAGTAAAGTTCATAGAATGAACATTAGATATAAGTTGAGAGATATGGGACGGAGATGGTGCTTTTAGCTGTTAAATATCTAATAATCTGTAGGATAAACGTAATTAACTTTTGTACTGCATAAATACTACAATTTATGCAACTTTTCATACTCATTTTCCTAAATGATTTATTAAAATCTTCTATCTCTTCATTATTCTATTTAATTGATGGTATTGAAAAAATATTTCAAAACTATTCCAAGAAAAGAGAAAATCGTGTAATACTAAAATTCGTGGATAATTAAGTAAGCTTTAAGTACAATAAAACAACGATTTAATAGGTTTAATTCTATAATTTAATGAAAGTACAAACACAAAATGTTCAAATTTATAAGTTATATCAATCTTATCGATTTATATTTATTTCTATCATACACTTATCGCACAAAGTAAATACTCATTATTCAAAACTTTTCATCATTAATTTCTTACGTACACAGCAAAAAATATTGTAAAATATTGTTAATGAAATTCCATTATCAGTATATCGTTATTGTCTATTTTTAAAAATTCAATGGGAAAATTATTCTTCGAAAATTCTTTGAATTATTGGTTTTGTTACTTTATTTTTAGAAATCAATTATCTTCAGTTTTCCTAATAATTTCAGGACTGCAATAGCTCTTTTATTTTTGCGTTTCCGACTAATACGAAATAACAGAAAAATAAAATTTCTTACATTTTAATATAATAATAACCGATTGTTTTAATGTTGGACTTTCTAAATGTGACATTATTACTCTATATAACAATTAGCATATAATCACTAGAATAAATTTCAAAATAGCATTATTAATATGCATTGTACCAATCAGTGTACATGTGAATTTATATATTTATATTATTATATTGTCCCCCGACTGAATTCGTTCGTATGCTCATAAATCAGTTTTCTCGAACATATATATATATATATATAATGGAATCGTTAGCTGAAAATGAATATGTAAAAGGTATTAATTATTAATTGATTAATCATTATTAATAAGCGTATTTGATCATCTGTGTTACATGAAAGAAATTCTGTTTTTTATTCTAATTTAAAATATATGACATTATTTCAATTTAAAGGACTTGCAACTAGGAAATTAACTCTATTGAATTATCGAATTACGAAAAATTCGACTCTACATCACTAAAAATAAATTCCTTACCAAACTTATTCCATATAATTTTATAAATTCATTATTATAATTATGTATTAAACTTCCTTTTCCTTCTTTTTCATCTTCTGCTTCTTCTTCTTCTTCTTCTTCAAAAAAAAAAAAAAAAGAGTAAAAAAGTAAAGGCATTTTAGCATTGTACTAAATAAAAACGACTGTAATAATAAAGGTTTTTAAGCTTTAAATCTACAATATTATCATTCAAAATTAACATTAAAAATTCGACAAATAAAATTGAAAATAAAAATACATATCGTATCAATTAGAATTATTTTTGATAACTATCGGATGATCTAAAAAATGAAATGTTAATGTAGCATAAGAAATCAAGGAATATTGAATTAATATTCGCTTTATTAACTTTCATGCATCGAATGAAAAGTCCACGAGCGATTTTGAAATCGTTCTGAAAACGCTTATAGAGCGATGCTTGCAAAATGCTAATAACTGCCTTAAATCTCGTTGATTTGCCTCTAGTGACTTGATTAAACGAACTCTATTACTTACAAGATAATTCTAAAGTCTCAAAGAAAAGGAGTTCCAACGGATTATTCGCTCCTCGTCGCTCGCAAAATATTTGAACAACGCGCGAAAATGATTAACTTGTCCCGGACGAAGCGTTAGGGCAGATCTTGTACGCGCAACTTCGGAGCCGACGAATCGCGCGACAAAACAAAAGCCCGAGAGAAAATGCGGTCGAGGAGAGAGTTCGTAAGAGGAAGGAAGCGCCTGCAAGAAGTTAGGCTGTTACAAGTGTCCTTATTGCTTTAACTACGACTCGCTCCGGTCTCGGTAAGCGAAAACTTGCGAATTTCATTTCGGAGCGAAATGGAAAGTACTGCTCTGCGAATAAATAGAGCTCAACTTTTGACTCCCTTTTATTTTCGCGGCAGGATCTGCCTACGACCTGTCCATATGAACGATAGTTTAGAAGATGCAAAAAGGGAATAGCTTCTTGTCCTTCAGCTTCGATTGTGTACTCCGCTAATGGATTGAGACCATTGTTCCAGTACCATTGGGCGACGAAGTTCATTGAATTTATCTTTATTTACAAGTGGGTAATTTCGTAACGCCTGCACTTACAAGCGCTTTTCAAAGGTAAATCCTTAAGATTGTGTAAATTATATTGCAAGCACTTGTATTTCTATAAAATGGTTTTTCACTAATTTAATTTCTTTAAATGCATTATTCGGTACGGGCGGCAGTTTTAGCTTTGGGAGAAAAAACATGTAAGGGTAAGGATTTTCCCTTCAAATTAAAGGATTTTAAAATAGCATCTTTTTTTTCATTTTATACTTTATTA